ATCCGATAGATGTATATGCGTTTTTTATTTGTAACCGACATATATTTCAATTTTTTACGCTTTGTAACAGACATAATTAATAATTTGAAATTGTTAACAACATATACTGAGGACGACCTGATACATACACACAAGGGTCGAAATATTTATTTTAATTAAACAAGAAAAAGTTTCACAAATATTGGCTGCGTTCAGCAGAAAAAGCAGCTTTGCAACTGTTGTAAAATTCTCTAATACGATTGGTCTTGCCCTTTTTATTCCTCATTTTATCTAAATGTATAAACCAATCATATTCAAGAATTTTACAACAGTTGCAAAGCTGCTTTTTCTGCTGAATGCAGCCATTGTTTGTACAAAAAGCATTGGCTTTTAAACTATATATAATTATAATTTCAATTATATCTAAAAAATATAATTTCTCTTTTATTACCTTACTTCATCAAAACGTTTATTAGGTTGATTATGCAGTTCTTTATAAAGTTCCCCTTTAGGTGCATATTCCAATATTAAATAAATTCGCTTGGGGTCGTAGAAATATCCATACAGCCTCAAAATATTTGGATGTCTATAAAAAAAAACAATTATATCAAATATAATTCTTTGATTTCGTAATATAAGGTACCTAAGTCAAATAAGGCTCAGCACTAAATAAGGTCCACTTTTAAATTTATTACTTAAAACTCGCTTTATGCCTGCAACATATGCTTAAAAGATGTGTCATAGGAAGTAGATAAAAAGGGATTAAAGAATTGGAATCGGTAGCAATACGTTTGTTTAACACAACAAAAATTTGTGTGTATGAGCCATTTTTATAACAATCCGCTGCAAAATTTACCAGTACAATGTTTCATAATTTATTATAATTCATTATAATATTATTCAATTTCCTAACTATGGAAAATAACAAATAAATCAATTTTTTTTTAATGAGTATAAGTATTTTTTTTAAACAATGTACTTATTAAATAAGGCCCACTTGTGTGATTATTATTATAGCTATTATTATTTGTTTGTTATGTGTGGAGTTTACACCAGAGAATAATGATTTTCAATGCTGCTATCTTTTAAGAAGCCAAAATTGCATTCAAATTGTTAGAAATTTTTAAAGATTAAAGAGTTAATTACAAACAAAATTAAAGATAATTGTAATGTTTGAGAGTAGAGTAAGTCTTAAGGAATTTCCTTTCTATGATAAATAATCATTTTAAAAGTGATTTAGAAAAATAATGTTTACTTTCTTTGTTATTTTTAATTTACTTTTGATTTGGGCCTTTTATTACATATTTATGTGCATGTAATAAGGTCCAATGTCAGATTTAACAAAATTTCTTTTCCGTTCATGTACAAATATTCTATATAAAATAAACAATACATTTTATTTTTGGGAGTGAATGAAATGAAGATTTGATTCTCACTTAGTTTATTTCAATATCCTCACAAATAGAATTTAAAAAAAATAAAATTAATTAGGTGGGCCTTATTCGACTCAGGTACCTTATATCACATACAGTTTTTATTATATACAACTAATGAAAACTAAACAGAATACAGAAATTGGTACCTCAAATGGGTTTGAATTTCTATTTCTCTTCGTACTTGATGTAAGATTTGTGCGTCTTCTATTTGTGATCTATAAAGCACCTTCATGGCTATTATAAATTTTGATCTTTTTTCTCTAGCCAAGTATACATTACCAAATTTTCCTTTACCTAGAGGCCGGCCAATATCAAAATCTGTCAGTACCCATTTCTTTTTACTTTCACCCTCCTTACTTGAACTACTTTCTGTATCTGAATTTTTCTGAACCATTTCACTTTTATTATCTCTTACTTTTACACTATTTTCACTATTAGATATTTGTTGGGTAGAATCTACTGATTTACATGCTACTGCAGGTAATTTAGGTGGTGGCATCAATTCTGTAGACTTTTTTGCAGTCTCTTTACATTCATTTTTGTTTGTGGTAGTTGTTGAGCAAACTTTATAGGTATTTTCCTTATCACTGATAGTACTTTCTGCAATTCTTGATTGAACAATGTCTGTTGCAAATGTTTCGGAAATATGTAAGCATTTCAAATTGCTAATTGCTTTCAATGTATGTTCAGCTAATTGATGATGAGTCTTATCATTTTCTTGATCCATTCCAAAAATAATTGAAACTTCTGATCCCCTATAATTTGGATATTAAAGCAAATATATATTCTTTTACATACATTTACTTTACATACGAAAAGAGTATATTGCAATTTGGAAAATTAGATATACATATATACACACACACATACATAACGTCATACGCACATATGTATCATTAATTTTCTTTAGATTTTAAACTTTAATAATTTTATGCATGACGACAATGTAATAGAAAAATAATTTGAAAAATAAAAAAACATTACATTATATTAAAATAACACATATTTCATATTAGCTTTAAAAATTCATGCCGGTCGAAAGACAAAAAAGACATGATTTCTTTGAGTGCACTTACTTTTGCAGCAAGATGTAACAAAACGAAGAATCTTTTTCTTCTTTTCAATGTTATCCACTTGTAACCACTTCTAGAATGCTAGCAAAGGTCAATGCAGTTGAAAACAGACAAGAGTATCGGCACAACGACAAACCGTGAAAATCTACAGCATCTTTAAACGGTTTTTTAAAATATTGAATGCCTTTCGTTGATTGGTCAATCCGAGATGCGCCACAATGGTCACGTTCAGCAGATTCAACTGTTGCGGAGCGGATCTGTGAGCGCTTGCTATTGGTGTATTCTTCTAGATCATCCAATAGCAGCGAGCGCTCACGGATCCGCTCCGCAACAGTAGGTGCATCTAGAAGCACGACCGCTCATTGAGCGCTCAGTGATCTCTTGTACCTGTTTGGTCTATATTTTTAGCTCTAATGGAAAATACCAATCAAATGCAAGAGTTCACTGAACGCTCTGCGCTTCTGGATGCACCCAATTGTGTCTGCTGAACGCGACCAGTGAGCGCGATAAAGAGATGCAATCGATTTGCAGCCATACTTTGCCGCCATGCTTTGCAGCCTTAGGGTGCTATTTCATTTGTGCGTTTTCGTCGTACGACAAATGAAATAGCACTCTTATTATGCTGGAAATCATGGCGACCGCTGAATAAACATGTTGAGACGCTGAGTGCATCTACACTGAAAAAAATTTTGTTCATTTTTAGTGATCCAATGAATGATCGTTAATCAATGTCCGACTTATGGCCGCAGCACAGACTCTTGCATAACGCATAATGCATAGTGCATAAGGGAATCGAAATTCTTCTTTTCCATGAAATGGAAGGAAAGGAAAGAGTCTGATTAGTTGATTCGCTTATGCACTATGCGTTATGCAAGAGTCTGTGCTGCGGCCTTTAATGTCCGACTTAATGTAGTTAATTCATTGATACAATAACTGGATTCATTTATACAACTATATATTCATTCTTGCAATGAATTTTAGGAATAGTTTTTTAATCTATCTAATAGTTTTATAATCTAAGGCTACGTTCCAAAACGTCCTCTCCGAGGGAAATTTTACTCAAAACATATAGGCCCATATTCAGAACGCGCTTTTATCTCTGAAATTCTATAATGTGCGTAACGTAAAGTATAGTATGTTAACGCGCTAACATCGGCTGCGTTCAGCAGAACGTTCGTTTTGCAACTGTTGGAAGTTTCCTTCGCGCTAATTGGATCATACTTTTAGATCTAGAAGAATGGTCCTATCTCAGTAGACAATCATAAAACGGTTGCAAAACTTGTTGTTGAGTCTGCTGAACGCAGCCATCGTTGTAAACGCGTTCTGAATACGGGCCATAGTATACGTAACATATACTATAGTAAAATCTTCCTCGAAAGACGTTTTTTTGGAATGTAGCCTAAATCATTATGAGAATTCATTGGACCAATTTTCATTATTTTTTCATAATTCAATGAATATTTTATTGTATTTACGTACAGTTTTGGTTTAGTGTAGGACCGTTCAGCAGACAATCATAAAATGGTTGCAAAATAGTTGCTTTCTGCTGAACGCACTCACTGGTCGCATTCAGTAGTCTAAGGCCGGAATCAGACTACGCGATGAAGATTGAGGTTGAAGATTGAAATTTGACCAATGAGGGTAAAGGAATTTTAACTCCTATTGTTTTGATTGGTCAAATTTCAATCTTTCAATCTTCAATCTCAATCTTCAATGCCTAGTCTGATTCCGGCCTAATGTGTCGTCTACAATGGCAGTATCAGTAATGGATGAGGCTTAAGAAATTGACCAATCACAGTCGATTATTCTTCTTACATTCAACTGTACATAACACCCTGTATACACTAGTGCAGTAATGCGGGATCTACAATAGAAATCGTAGCGGTGGTAGGATCTTAAATCGTAGAAAATTGACCAATCAGAGTCGATTATTCTTCTCATATTCGACTGTGATTGGTTAATTTTCTATAATTTAAGACCCTACGACCGCTACGACTTCTATTGTTGACCCCGCATGAGTTAAATCGGAATCCATAGTCCGGTCTTAATCTTAAGCAATGTCTTAAGATGCTAATACGGCTCTCTGATTGGTTCAAGCACTAGCTTAAGGCCGGAATCAGACTACGCATTGAATATTGAGATTGAAAGATTGAAATTTGACCAATCAAAACAATAGGAGCTAAAATTCCTTTGTCCTCACTGGTCAAATTTTAATCTTCAATCTTCAATCTCAATCTTCAATGCATAGTCTGATTCCGGCCTAAATCATTTTGAGTCTTGAGCAACGTCTATGGATTCCGTACTTAGAATGAAACAAAGAAACATAAGATCTGTTCGCGTTGCTTGCACCTTTTGCACTCAGCATCTTGGCTGATTTTGGCTTTCTCTCTTTTCAACGCTCAAATATATATCTATCATTTTAAGTTGGAAAATTTTTGGGAATTTCAAGCGACACTAAGAGATCAATAGTTTATTTCACTCTAATTGATTGCGCTAGAACTATTTGAAAAAGAACAGACCTAGATTAACTAGAAATAGAACTCCTTTTTACTCCTCATTCACTACTCATCATCGTCATTACAAGAATGTTCCTGTACACAACACACATAATCATAAAAGAAACTGTTACTCAACTTTAGTTAACAATATAACATTTATTTAGTGAGATACAGTCTATTACTCTGATAATTAGAAACATTTGTGTAACCTTAAATAAAATGTATCCATGCAACATCAATGGTATCCATAATTTCTTTTGGAATGAACCCATGAAAGACTTACTGCCATAATAAGCTGTAAAAAAAAAAACAATGTTACAAATGGTGCTCTCCATTTCGTGAGTCGGCACAAATGTCATCCTCTTTTTTTAGTTCTGAATGTTAAGAAAGATAGAATGCTGTTTATGTCAACTTATGTCACTAAACGGAAAGCATCCAAAGTCTATCGTTCTAAAATTCAAAACGTTTTTGTCAAATTCTTTTGCGATTACTTACTTCATAAGGGTTAATTCAGGCATGCCTGGGTCAGCACCCTTGCTGAATCCTAAAAACAAAATATTGAAATTTTTTAGTATTGCCATACAAACAAAATAATAGGTCTGTTTGCGTTGATTGTACTTTTTGCACTCAATACTATTTTGTACTTTGCTTTCTTCCTTTTCAAACCCAAGTATATATAATATATACTTATTTCAGGGCTCGGCACGATTTGCACTTCTCGGCAGATTTTCGACTTGCCTCCGCCTTCCGCTACTCTTCTCACCTCATCATCCTGCGCGCAGTCCAAATAGCCGTTCGACATTTAGGAGCGTACGACGTTTAAAGCAAATGAAGCTGTATGCTTCATTCTATTTTTTGTTTCGTTCATTACATAACTAAGATAGAATAAAGCAACGCGTAAGATTGAGCGCTTATGCGTTGCTTCATTTTATCTTAGTTGTGTAACGAACGAAAAAAAAAAGATATAAAATGAAACTTAGGAGTGCCCAAAGCAGATGGACCTCACATCTACGAGCGTCATACACTCCGCAGGACGATGAGGCGAGAAGAGTAACGGAAGGCGGAGCCGAGTCGAAAAAATCGGCCGAGAAATGTAAATCGTACCGAGCCCTGATTTATTTCGTTTTAAGTGCAAAAATTTTTAGGGATGTCAAGCAACGCAAACCAACCAAATATATCGATATCGGGTACATTCTACTTGGCGTTCACAATGGTCACGAGCATTATTTTATCCTTGTTTAACATTTGATGAACAACAAGGATGAAATGATGCTCGCGAGAGTTAAAAAAATGTCAAGTGGAACATATTCATTATAAGATTTGAAAACTAACCTAAAAAGAGTACAGCAGGAAAAAAACCCCAAATTTGCTCACATTCAGGACGATGGCTATCCTTTGTTTCGTGGTCGGACTTAAAACCATTTTGACTATATTAAGATTTTTAGCAACGCAATACGCTTATGTCAAGATTGTTAAAGTCCTACTTTTACATCGAGCAACGCAAAACAACTGAAAACAACGTGCCCACGAAAATTGCGACAAACAGCGACCAACGCTCAGTGTTGCCAACTCGAGGTTTGTTCGCGTCGCAAGCTCCAACATGCTCCTATCATAGTTCGCACTCACTAGGGCCGGAATCGCCGGAATAATATCCATAGTCCGTTCTTAATCTCAAGCAGAGTCTTAGTCCGGATCTACAATAGGTGTTTTAAGACTTAAGCCGTAAGAAATTGACCAATTACAGTCGAATCCGAGAGGAATAATCAATTGTGATTCGTTCATTTCTTATGGCTTAATGTTTAGAACTCTATTGTAGATCCGGAGTAATACTTAATTCACACTGGACGCAGCTAGAGACCCTATACTAGTGTATTGCTAGTTTGACAAAACATGGCGTCGTCGTACATAACCCTATAGTATAGGGACTCTATACATAACCACAAACGTGATGTGATCGATTAATTTGAGACACTTCATTGGCTCCGCCATATTTTGTCAAAACCAATAGGATGGATGACAACATTGGCCAGACTCTTAGTATACGTCTAGGGTCTCTAGACGCAGCAAGCGTCAAGCAGCGGAGCAGCAACCAATCAGCAAGGCGATATTGTTTACGCCACTGTAAATATCGCCTCACCGATTGGTTGCTGCTCCGCTGCTTGCTGCGTCCAGGATGAATAGACCATAAAGCCCAGTGTCCACGATGCTAGAAATCCGTCAGAGATCTCGGATGAAGAAAGAATTGACCAATCGCATTGATCGTGTGACTAAATTGTTCAAATGTGATTGGTTAATTCTTTCTCTCTCCGAGATCTCGGACCAATTTCCAACATCGTGGACACAAGGCTTAAGGATGGAATGGATTAGAATAAGATAAAAAAAGTTTTATATTCCCACTATTAATTCTCCATCATAGTTGATTCCGAGGATTAAATAAGAATTTTCTGCAGTCGTTTATTTATTAGATTGTTGAATTCCATATAACGAAAATGTTTTTCAAAAACAATCGAATATTTTTTTTCAAAGTATGTTCAAAGATTACGTTTGAAATCCTGCTAGAAAAATTCCCTAAGTTTTCCCCTCGAAACTACGAATTTTCAAAAAAAATCTTGTTTTTTTTTGCAAATTAAAACATTTTCTTTTCTCTTTTCCTAAATATTTCAAATATTTTCAATTTCTCAATTTTCACACCTATTCGTTCTTCTTTGTGATTCTTTACCGATTGAAAAAAAATTGTTCAAATTCTGTGCATTATATGTAAAGATATACGCGATTGAAAACATCAGGGTAACACATCCATGTGCTTTAAAATCTCGAATCAAATATAATTCACTATTTGAAGGTTAATTGAACAATTGAAGGTAAGTTGACAAAAGAAGGACCTTAAGGCTCTGTTCCTCAACTTCAGTAAGGTCAGCCGTTTTTAATAGTATCTCATCAGTGATTTAAATGATTAAGGCCTAATTGTACCAATGTTATTTTAATTTTAAGCAAGATTTAAAATTTTCTTCCAAACTGTCATAGGGAAGTACCCTGAAATTAATTATTCCCCTAACATTCGGCTGTGAATGGTCAATTTTTTATAGCTTACGGCATAAGTTAACAGTTTATGGCATATATAAGTGATCCTTTAATTCTTGCGAGCCTTGTGAAGTACCCTTGGTAACACTTGTCACTTGATAGTTGAAAATTTATCCAGGGCCATAAATCTGAGCGAATATATTGAGAAAACTGAACATGTTTCATTAATTGTAATACAATTATAGAACAGAAACAATTGTAAGATATCAAGTATAAAACGCTAAAGTAGCCTAGAAATAGAAAGGGAAGAATCTAGTCGCCTATGATACAGTTTAGAAAATAGTGACTTAAAATAAAATTTTTTTTCACATAAAATGCCATTTACTATACCAATAATAAATATAGTTATCAAGAAACAATACAATTTGCTTTGAGGTCGAGATTAATGATCTATTATAATTAGTTCATCGATACCCCAATCTTCATAACTATTATCAGGCAGGTAGCGGCGTATAATTATAGGAATTTTTCGTTGCTTTAATTCCTTCATAGCAATTTGCAACGGATCTGTCTCGCCTTCTAATTCTACCATCACAGGAGCACACATTGCTATCTGTAATGCTCTTGTGCCAAGAACTCTTGCCCTTTCGTATCTAAAATATCAATTATATAATATTTGAGAAGTTACTTGTGTGTGTGTGTGTGTGTGTGTGTGTGTGTGTGTGTACACATCTGTACGTTTACACACACACGCACACACATTATATATTATAAACTATATACTTAGTCATATATCTCGTCGTTATTCTCTTTGATCTTTGGACACCACCAGTAGCTTCATTAGCATTCAACAATTCAATGTTTTCACCATCATCTTCCTGAGGCTCTAACTCAATGTTGTCCTCGTCATCTACATCATCAAAATCATCTGCAACTCTACAAGATACAATTAAATTAGCTTACATTAATCACAAACAAGTAATTTGCCTATATAAATTGTATTTAGTCATCAAATTTTGGTAATTATTTATAATAGCCTCCCCCCCCTCCCACCTAAAATCTTAATAAAAATATACTCATTCGACAGATTTTCACTAAAAACGAAAGAATCTGGCAAAAAAAGCGACGGTTGGCCTCGTGAATCGAGTTATTAAGCGTTAAAATTGAAGACTTTAGAAGTTACGATATCTGTCATCCCGACTCAATGCAACGCTATGTATACGTTCTGCTTGAATTACACAAATTCACTGCTTCAAAAACCAATTTCTCTGGTTTACAAACACAAATTCACTGCTTTAAAAACACAAATTCACTTACAGATATCTTAACCTCTAATATCTCCAACTTTAAAGCTGATTCTACAATGAATCCGTAGTCGAAAATCTTAGTCTTACCAATTTTAACCTAAATAAGTGACTACGATTTTTCGCATCTACTAGTTGTTAGTTGTACAGCGAGTCGTTTAATTCGACTAATGGGAAGGAATAAAGTCGAATTTGGTAAATCTTAAGAAAATCGGTAGTCTTACAAAATCGGTAATCGTACAAGGTGGCTGTTGGCCAACTTCACCGATTCACCGATAAAATTCAGAACTATCGACTCATTGTAAAATCAGCTTAACACATAATAACTCGATTCACGAGGCCGACCGCCGCGTTTTTCTGCCAGATTCTTTCGTTTTGAGTGAAAACGCGTCGAATGAGTATATTTTTATTAAGATTTTCGTAGGGGAGTGTATTCTCAATGATTATCCAAATATTTTCTAGTATTCTAATTTACGATAAATAGTAACTGTAATAAAAAAAAGAAACAAGTTTGACTATTTGATTAAAGAATGTGATGCAAGTAACTTATATTACACCTCAAACAATTCTTGATAACTTACTCGTCTCCGTCGAAATCTTCATCAGCCATTACTTATTAATTTATTTTTATTATAGGAATGCGTATATATTTTGTTTTTGGTATTTATATGACTCGGTCCCAATAAAAATAATTTCAATTTCGAACAGCGTTTTTATATTCTGTACACAGACGTATAAAATAGACGGAGCGTTCATCGAATCATACGAGAGAAGCTGAAGCACTACATTACATGTTAGTGGTGCATGGTGTAATAAAGAAGAGGTGTGCTGTTGCGCAAGAAGATGATTAACCAATAAGGATGGTGGAACAAGTGACCGGCCATATTAATATATCAGCCAATCAGCGTTTTTTCTGAGATACTCAAAATGTGGTATAGTTTAAATAAGGAAATGACAATTAATGACTTTATTTTGTTGAGCACTACTATTGTGACTTTTTATTATCAATTATTATTAATAATAATTTAATAATAATTATTATAAATCCCTCCTAGTTAATAATAATATTATTAAATTATTTATATATATATGAAAAGGGTAAAGATATATAAATAAAGTGCTTTATCAGAATTTATTGGAAAAAAACAAATAAATTTGTAAATAATAACATTTAATTTATATATCTACTACTTTTGAGGTTAATCTCCTTGCCACAAGCTTTCATCCACTTTGCCGCAATGTCACTATCTTTTGGAAACGAAAAAAACTTTATTTTTTTACTTTCGCATTTTCACTGCAATTTTTACACCTCTTAACGCTGCATGCCACCATTTTTTTACAAAAACATAATGGGTGCGTTCAGCAGAACGTTTGTTTTGCAACTGTTGTAAGTTTCCTTCGCGCTAATTGGATCATACTTTTAGATCTAGAAGAATGGTCCTATCTCAGCAGACAATCATAAAACGGTTGCAAAACTGTTGAGTCTGCTGAACGCAGCCATTACAAGTGATGCGTCAGTCTCTTTGTTTTCTTTGTTATAATTTTCCAATATGGAGGGCAACTTGTTCCAATACATGCGCCATATATGCGCAGAAATAACGCGTCAAAATTTGGTGTATCTCACGAGCACACCTTTTCTTTATTAGGCCCTGCGCACAATGGAGGAAATATTAGGAACAGGAAAAGATGTTAAGATTTCAACCTATCAGAAACCGTGTATTCCGGTGTAACTGGTACCTGATAGGTTAAAATCTTAATATCTATTCCTGTTCCTAATATTTCCTCTATTGTGCGCAGGGCCTTACACCAATGGGACGTCTTTTGGGCATCCCCGATAAAGGGGATACGAAAATTTTCTCCTTCCACTCAAAAAAGGGCCGCCGACCGGTGGCGCTGATCTGCAAGCGGGTAAGCGGGTTGGAAATCGCATCATTAGTTAATGCATGATTCGGCAAGAATTGTCAAAAGCTGTCAAAAGCAGTCAAAAGTTTTAAACCGTGAATGTGTCGTTGTATGTAACTTGTTTAGATTTTGGATTTCCGAAAAATATTAATTGAGACAAACGTGAAATGGCAACAGAAAAAGATTTGATAAATGGTATTTAATCATGTAAATATTGTATGTTTATAAATATTTTACAGTCTAGAAAATTGTGGAATTATTTGACATGTATAAATCCATCATCTCTATATTTCGTATCACGACAGTAAACAATATAATTCGAGCAACAATACTTTGTATTATTTTGTATAGAAAATATTTTTATATTTTTGTTCTTTTATCGCTTACACACTTTCTATCCATTTATTGTATCATAATATGCTATTTGATATCTGATTAAAGATTCTCTTATTAGCATTTATTGTCTACCTATGAAATATAAAAGACAATACCTTTTCTTACATTTTGAATTTGTAGCTGTACGAGAATCACTAAAGACCGATGGAAATCTTGATCGAATAAAAGCGGAAATGCGTACAGAAGTAATAAAACTGCTCGATTATTCTAGCAAGGAGAACAAATCGAATACTGTCAAACCTTCACACGATATTGTTTTTCTCAATGAACTTGTCCGAGAATATCTGGATTGGATGGGTTACAAGTATAGCGCCACTGTATTTATCGCAGGTACATTATTTTATGGAATACATATACAATCATTGTATATCATTATACTAATTAGCTTGAATATAACGGACTATATCAAGTGTGAGATAATACAATTTTTTTTCTCGAATGAATCTCTACGTGTATAAATCAAATAATATGATTGAATAAAAGACGTTATTTCAGAATGTGATCTTCCCAAACATTGCTTGGATCGTAAACTTCTGGCACAAGGTTTAGGAGTAAAAGACAGCGGAAAGAGCAAAAATTTACCGCTGTTGTGTGGTCTCATACAAACATTTACCAATTTAAAAAATACCTATTTATAAGATCTACACGAGCATGTATATTCAACTGCGATTTTTAAATACTATTTATTCATTTCCTATATATTTATATATGTTACAAATCTCACACTTATATATACAAACATAAAAGCATGCACAAGCTTAGATATACAGATGCACAAGCTTAGATATACAGATTATATTATTTATTACAATAAATAATAAAAAAACCAAACACAGTACTCAAGTTCCATCTGTAACACATGGCAACTCTTTGTTAGTAATAACAAAGCTGTATCATGTAATGTAACATATAGCACAATGAACGCGAAGTAAACATCTTTTTTTTTATTTCTATGTGTTCATCATGTAAGATACAGGAATATGTTAAAAGAATTTTACTATTTTATTTTTCGTGATTTTTCTTACATATTGACATTAAATTATGAAAGTACAATATAATTGTGAAAGAGGAAGGAAGAGAAAGAAATATATAATATATGTATATATATAGATAGTAGAGATCTTAAATAAAATTGCTTTTTTATATTTATTATATAATATAAGTTTATAATTATAAGTTGCTTAAAAGACTTATCGCTTTTTGACAAAATTGCCACAAAATTATGTCGGCTACAATGTATACATGGCTTATAATAATAATAATAAACTTACATACCAGTACTTTTTAATATTATATCAAGTCGGAACATGACAATTATGCAAAGGCTATATCATGTTATTCTTTTCCTCTTTTTTTTTTATGTTAGAACAATTTAACTATTGTAGGTATTCCCAATTTCTAGTTTTTCTACTCGTTGAATCGCGTTAATTTGTTTTGCCTGCTCAATGTTTACCGCTTGTACAAATAAATCATTCGATAAATACTCTACTACTAAATGACGTGTATTTAAGAAAACGGTCACACATTGAGCTTATAGCAACGAGTACGAAATAATAATTATTACAATTTCCATGATATTTGAAAGTACTATATATGAAAAAAGAAAGTTCTGGCCTTTTTTTCTTTATTGTTTCTTTCTAAGGTAAGATAAGGTGGATTCTTTGATTGAACATCAAAGAGATATCTAGTGATGTCATTTATGCTTGGATTTCTTCTTCTTCTTTGACTGTTTGCTTCTACTCTTTGATTTTTTCGATTTCTTCTTATGTTTCTCTTCGTCGCTGCTACTGTCGGACGAATCAGAGTAAGTGTCCGAGTCCGAACTGCTATCCTTCTTGGCAGATTTCTTCTTTTTATGCTTCTTATGCTTCTTTTTTTTCTTCTTGTGCGACTCGTCGCTGCTATCCGAATCAGAGCTCGTAGTATCGGAACTGCTAGAAGTGTCCTCGCTGCTACTTGATTTGGATCGTTTCTTCAAAGATTTGATCTCGATCTCTTTGTTCACTTCTATTTCGTCAAGCTTCAATTTCTTTGCAGATGACGGTTTTCCTTCCTCGCCATCGGATTCTGAATCCGAAGCTGAGTAGTCAGGTTCGAAGCTCGCCTCGTCGAGTATGCTGCGCTTGCGATCAGACACCAGTCTCGGATTTCTCCTTTGTTTCTTCAACGATTCTAAAGGCGGCTCAATATTCTCGTAACTGATTTTAATCTCGTTACCATCCGATTTATCCTTAGAGATCGCATTCTCCTTGTGCTTTTGCTTCTTCTCCTGATTTTTGTCCTTATCCTTCTTGTGTTTCTTCTCTTTGCGCTTTTTATGCTCCTTGGATTTACTTCTACTGCGATGCTCCTTCTTTCTCTTCTTTTCCTCCCGAGACTTCTTGTCACGTTTTTTCTCTTCTTCATCATCTTTCGACTTCAACAGGCCGATCTTGGATATTTCTGTTCTCTTAAATACGCAAGTCGAGGATGGTGTCCTACCTCTGTGTTCGCGATCTCGTTCCTTATCGTGATCTTTATCCACGCGTTCTCCTTTGATGTCGCTTCTATTGGAACGAAAATCCGTTCTGCAATCAATTCTACTCTCCCTGTCGGATTTCAACTCGCTTCCATGCCTGTCACCTCGGAAATCCGACCTCTCCTTTGGCCGATCACCTCTATCTTTGTTGTCACGTTTTCTCTCTTCTAAGAACACTTTTCGTTCGCCGCTTGTAGTAGTTAAGCCCAACGAAGAAGACTCTATGCGCCGCTCTAAAAGCGGAGGAGAGAGCCTCTTTTCTCTTCTGGGTGATCGACTTCTCGACTGATTCTCGTTCTTGGCGTCACGCCTCTCCAGGAATCCCTTTATAGGACTAACCTTTCTCTCCTTGCCGTCTTCGATCTTCTCGCCGAGTCTCTCCTTCGCGGACAATCTAGTCGGCGAGTAAGCTGTCTCTGGTACGGGTTTAAACTTGGTACGATCGAGCTTGGCTTTCTTCGCTGGCTCAGTAATCTCGACATTCCTCTCGTTTCTACCAACGTTAATCGTCACGTTGACGCTCTTTCGCGGCTCTCGATTAGATGCGGACTCCACTGTCTCCAGCACCTTAGGCTCAGGATTCTGATACAGTATCTTTCTGCTTTCGCTGATCTTTTTGATTTCGATCGGTCGGATCGCATTAATTGCCTTTTGGAATATGGCGTTTTCCGCACGCTTCAGTACCTCTGACGTAACCATCTTGATAGATTTTGGCTCATCCTCTCTCGGTATTTTCTCCGTCGGCGATCCACTCACGTTGTCATCGTCGTCGTCATCATCATCGGGTTTTTCGATCGTATCATCCCTTTCCCACTTGGATAACTCGGGTATCGGTGCCAAAAACTCATCTTTTTTCGGCGATTTCTCCGTTGCCAACATAATGGTAGCTTCCTTTGTCTCGGTCTGCGAATGTTCCGAAAGTAAAGAATACTTCTCCGTGATCACAGTGTTAATTTCTGTGTCATCCAATCCTCCGTAGAGGCTATCGATCGGCTTCATGTCCGATTTGAGTTCCGGAATCGGTTTGAAGTTTGGATTTGGTGGATTCGTGCCAAATTCCGTGCGATCTAACCGACCACTACCAGGACTGGGTTCGTTGAATTCCGGCGGTTCCGGATTCATCGCCAGAGATTTATCCTCGAATTCCTCTTTGATCGGCGCGATAGACACTTGGTTGGAAATACATTCGATCCTGTTCTGTATGTTGTCTTCCTCGTTGCACGCTTTTATAGAGTCGGTTTTGTCGGGCGGTGAAGACGAAGTGTCATTTATTTTACTCTCAACTAGCAAATCGTCCGCCTCTGTCGTTTTAATCGTAAGATCGTCCTTTGCTACTTCTTTCTGATTGGATTTCTTGTCCTTTTTCTTCTTCTTCTTTTTTTCTTTCTCATCACTATCCTTCTTTTTCTTCTTTTCCTTTATCTTCTTCTCTTTCTTCTTCTCTTCTACTTTTTCCTCATGGTCCTTTTCTTTTTTCTTCGCATTTCGTTCTGGAGACAAATCTTTAGGATCGCCCCTAGATTTCTGCGAGTATGGACTTAAGCTTTTCCTACTCTTTTTTCGTTCCATCGAACGTCTCTCGTATCGTTCGTGACGATCTCTGTCTTTCTCGGTTTCGTATTCGCGTTCGCGTCTCTCCTTCTCTCGCAGCCGATTCTTGTCATCTTGCCGATGGCGATCTCGATCGTCTCTATAACTGCAATAATAGATAAAGATATAAATGACATCAGATTTCCAACAAATTAGTAAATTAATTGAAAGCTTTTTTAGTAAATTAACCGAAGTCTTCTTTTAGCATACAATTTTAAATAATAAATATGTGTTAAAATTTCTATTATACATATTGACTCTTGCTAACGTGCTGAATAACTTTAATCTAATTTAATGATTCTTTAACTTAATTGATGCAGAACATACCGATCTTTGTCATAATCTTTTTTCTCGATATGCCTGTCGTCATCTCGACGATCGCGAATGTGTCTATCGTCTCGTTCCTTCTCCTTTTCTCTTCTGTCGCGTTCGTCTTTTTCTCGTATCCTATCCTCGTGTTCTCTAGGCGGGACCTGCCTATCGCGATCTTCGCGATCTCTATTTATGATTCTGCGATCTCTGTCATCCCTCTCGCGTATACGATCCTCACGTTCGCGACCCCTTTGAAACACAAAATACAATACATTACAAATATAGTCCTTTGTAATATGATCACGATAATTTCTTTTATGAAATGTAAAATGATTCAAGAGAGCAGATAACGATGTGTAAATAAATTCATTCGTTAAAACAATGACAATATAATATACGTTTCGACTCTTTGTTCAGATCCTCTTCAGTACGTTAACCCATTAAACGCGCAGGACAAAATTTTTTGCTTGATTTCAAGATAAAAATTTAACACACTAAAACATGAAATATTTTAACGAAATTTGGGGTATCCTAAGGTTTTGAGGGTCGCTCTTCACGATGGCGTCGTCAGAATTTCATTTCGACCATGTGGAAATTAAATATGGCAGTCGGAACAAGAAAAATAACGAAAAAATGGTCGACTTTCTTTCTTTAAAGGTTGTTTTCGAACTGATAATAATTTTTCTAATTTTCGACAAGTACACCATCAGTGGTCAAAATAGTTGTACTTTGAGATCCCATGGTGAAATTTTTTAAATCCATCATGGCGGATCCAAAATGGCGACCGAATTGATAAAATCTTGAAAATTTGGTGTTTTTTCGTATAACCTCATCAAATTTGAGTTATGTCCAACTTGGACTTAAATCTATATCCACAGATCTTTGATTTTGAGGTTTATACCTTTTACATTCACTGCTTTCAAAATGGCGAATCCAATATGGTGCACTATACTCGAAAAATCGCTAATTTTTGTATCCTTTTTTATTTTGTACACCGTTTGAAACCCCAATCTTCAAATTATTAGAGTGTTAGGAGTGCGTGAAAATTTGGGATCATTCCAAAGATCTAACATGGCGGATCCAACATGGAGACCCAACAACTCCCAAAGTATATTGGCATCGACAAGCTAAGTAAGATTATTAAGATTCTGAAGGATAAGCTTCCTATATTGTCGCGTACTAATGTAGTTTATAAAATCGATTACATGGAATGTAATGCGACTTATGTGGGGTAAACTTGCAGAACTTTAAAAACAAGGATTAACGAGCAGAGGCTGTAAGGCTTGTAAAGGCTATTAATTTCATTTGATTTATTTCGAGCCTTGAATTTTTCTTATATTGATTCAAGAGAAAGCTTAAGGTTCCTGAGTAGTCACCACAGCCATATTGAATCGTGACACCAGAAGCAAGAAATGATACGTTATTTTTTATTACGTGCCATTTATAAATAAAAACAATTTGGATAAAACAAAATGATGAGATTGCTTTAAGACATTTGTAAAAATGGACGAAAACTATGCTTATCCCCCTTGACAGTCAGTAAATAATCGT